GAGACAGTGTTCTCTGGGACAAAATAACCAGAGAACTTATCTCATGAGGATGTAACACACACTTAGTTTGTCTACTATCCCTTTGCTCATGACAGTACGGCAAATGTCGCTCCTAATTGACCTCCATATCGTTAAAGCACGTAATCTCGCCTCCCCCCCCCCTCCCGCTGCCCACCCACCGTGAAAAGAAATTGTTCCAAGGGAGAGGAAGAGAAGAGACAGAGAGAGAGACAGATAGAGAGAGAGAGAGAGAGAGAGAGAGAGAGAGAGAGAGAGAGAGAGAGAGAGAGAGAGAGAGAGAGAGAGAGAGAGAGAGAGAGAGAGAGAGAGAGAGAGAGAGAGAGAGAGAGAGAGAGAGAGAGAGAGAGAGAGAGAGAGAGAGAGAAGAGAGAGAGGAGGAGAGGAGAGGAGAGGAGAGGAGAGGAGAGGAGAGGAGAGGAGAGGAGAGGAGAGGAGAGGAGAGAGGAGGAGGAGAAGGAGGAAGAAACTAGCAGAAAAAGAAAAAAAGTAAGAAGAGAGAGAGAGAGAAAGAGAGAGGGAGAGACATATGCAAAATCAAGCTCCCTATTTGCATATTCTCATTCTTTTCCAATTCAGACAAATTCACTGCCGCCACCACCACCCCCCTTCTCCATCAACCCCCCCCCCTCCCCACCCCACCCCTCCCCCCCCCCCACACTCCTCTTCCGCCTCCTTCACCCTTTCCACCCCCCCCCCTCCACCCCTCTCCAGAACCCCTTCCCTCTCTCTCTCTCTCTCCCTCTCTATCCCACACATCCCCCTCCCACCAGTCACCTATCCACCACCAATCTCAGAGAAATCCCGCGGTGATGGAGGCGATCGACACCACCCCTCTGACCGCGTTTAATACCAGATCGTAATCGCTAATGGAGTTTTAATGGACTTGTAGAATCTGATGGCATTGAAATGAAAAAAAATAAGAAGGTTTCACTGGAAGAGATTAATTTGCATAATATTCCTTTAAATCTTACCCATTTAGCTTTGGAGACGGCCGGCCGGTGTCTGTGAAGGGATATATATATTGCACGTTCTTTTGGACATTAATATGGGCTGATAATAGATCTTGAGGGAAGTGAATAAAATGTTCAAGTCTCTATTGAATGTTATGGTATCTTGTTGATAAGATTTTTAAAACTAAGGATAATATTTATTGTTTGCAGTAAATGTACAAAAGAATGTTCGAATCAACTGATCATCACAGACCTAGAGTAGAGTATACAGTACAGTAATGTATTCATTAGTGTTTACCTAGAAGTGACTGCGGGAAAGTGAGGTCCCATGCCCCGCCTCCTAGGTTTACCGTGGTTTACCTAGAAGTAAATAAACATCCGGGAGCTAGGTAACTATTGTGGATTGTCTCCTGGGAAAGGGAGGTAACCCCTTTAACAAAGGGGAAGGGGGCAACCCCCTTTGCCTCCCCCTTTGTTGGGAGGCAACCCCAACAACCTCAGTTCTTGGCTGGCAAAGGGGGGGAGGGGGGAACCCACGTGACAGACTGAACAATGAGGTTCTTGCGAGGACTACGAACGTGTATAAAGTTGGTGTATTTTTCATGTGCAGTTGTTGGCCTAATGCATGATGGTTGAACACCAAACGTGTTCTGTACCCGTTGTTGTACATGATTGGTCCTCTACGGGAAAGTACTTGAGAAGTTTGGGAATTTAGTGGAATAATTGGGGGTATATGCTTAAACAAATGTGACCAGAATTTATCTCAGAAACGCCACCTACAATTCCAGCCACGGGGACAGAGAAAACGACGCATGGATCTCTTATCTTGAGGTTATCTTGAGATGGTTTCGGGGCTTTTTTAATGTCCCGGCGGCCCGGTCCTCGACCAGGCCTCCACCCCCAGGAAGCAGCCCGTGACAGCTGACTAACACCCAGGTACCTATTTTACTGCTCGTCTACTGGATCGTCGACTCATTATTCCCGGGCATTTGTCTAACTGTACTTGGGAAGTCCAACTCTGTCTTGGTGTTAACGAAATGGATTTGGTGGCTCAAGGATTCCATTTATTTTAATTCATTGGGTGTCCATGATTGTGGGGTTTGATCTTATTTAAGGCCTCGGTATTTTCTCAAAAGCATTTCCTTTTGTCTGTCTTTACATTGTGTGCGTGTAACAGTGTGATAATTAACAATAAATTCCTTTGTCGGGGACAGGAAGCCTCCTTACATATATATATATATATATATATATATATATATATATATATATATATATATATATATATATATATATATATATATATATATATATATATATATATATATATATATATATATAGTCTTTCTTGTATATATATACAACCCAATAAACATGGGACTACCAGGAAGAATAATTAGGTAACAATAGATGAGAATAATGGGGTAACAATGGAGGGAGCGCAGAGGTAAAAAAAATCTTAGAAAGCAAAGACAAAATAATTGATGAGAAAATAATAAAAGAACACGATGAAGGTCAGGAGGCAATACAAGAATTAATGGAGGGCCAGAAGATATTGATGCAACAATTGATGCACTTTCAATAATCAATAAATAGAAATGATCTAGGCACGTTTCCTGCGCTCAAGCGGGAGAATTAACAGACAGAAATCAGATATTTGGGGAGAAGACTGTGAATGCAGGCTGAGGTCAGGATTGGGATTCAGATACTCTAGAGAAAGACTCAGAAACTTTGGATAGACAAAAACGGAAAAAAACAGCCTCATTATAAGAAGCCTTGCAAAAGAAGAGGGCGAAATTGATGAGCAAATCTTTGAGGCAATGAAAGAAAAAGTGATAGGAAAGGAGGAGGATCTACGTATTTCTTATGTAAGGAGGTTATGTAAGATTGAAACAAATCAGGTATACATAACCATTACAAAATATTTAACACAGAAGGAGGATATACTCAACAATGGACATAAACAAAAAGCATGGATATAACATAGTGTACATCTTCCCGGCCCTCACAGTAGAACAGAAAACGAGCGACTGAGTATTAAGGGACAAACTAAAGGAATTAAGAAACACAGATTAAAGATTTACAAAATCCGGAGAAAGCAGGTGATCATGATAGTGGAGGGAGGCGGTAGTGAAGAACGCATCTCGTCCGGAGGTTGCACAAGGAAACCGCAATCCTGGGGAGTGATGAGGGTTGGCGCCTGGCATTCCAGGGAATGTAAATCCCGTGAGGCAGGCTGAGTAGAGCGGCATCTTGAACTTCCTTCATCCCGAAAGAATTTTTTGAGGCGTCGTGGTGATCAGTTGGCGGGAAATGGTGTCACAAGTAAGTTATCTTTTCCCGGAAGGGAAAAAGGAATAAGGAAATGTTGCTACGGAGAACTAAGGCTGTTGATGAGCGTACTGCCTTCAATAGAGCGTACCTATCAATACGCTTATTTGATAGCTTAAGGACTTGCCTGAAAACGCTGTGTTTTCTAATAGCTATGAATAATATACTACTCAACCACAAACATGTGTACTTTAACAATCTTCTATATATTCTTCTATATGAATAAATAAATACTGCCCAATAGCATGTCAAGAGTAAAGATAGGTACTTTCTGTTCTATCACGGCCCACCGAATCTCGCCAGTACTCTACTAGAAACAGTAAAGGTTAAGGCAGTGTCTGGGATGCTCCCGGACGCAGATTCGAATCCTCGTCACGGCCCTTGTGGATTTGTTCAAAGGAGGGGGGGAACTAGATATCGATATCTATGGCAGGTGACTGCAGGTAATGAATCACCCAGTGGTGAGCACTCCAGTTGTAAACTATGTGAACAAGAACTGGGACATACTCTCCAACACTATATCTGTGACTGCCCTGTTATCAGTGACTTCAGACCAAATGGTATGAGGTACTTTGAGCTCTGTAACTACTTCATACACTCAGGAATATTGGAAGATATTCTTACGCTGTGTCCAGATTTTGCTTCCGGAATTTTATATATATATATATATATATATATATATATATATATATATATATATATATATATATATATATATATATATATATATATATATATCACAAACAATAAACATATACATTTATTCCTTTACATATGCAATATTTAAGTAAGGTACATACATACAATAAATTTTTACAAAGATTGGTTGACTTATAGGTAGAGCTAGTACATACAATGCCTAAAGCCACTATTACGCAAAGCGTTTCGGGCATGATAAACTTAAATGACAAGCTTAATACTAATTGAGCATAATGAGTAGAATGAAAACAAGAAATGAAAACAGATGAAAAAGCAGCACAAATACAATTATGTCAACAAACAGCGCTCTTAAAAAAAAACAGACATTGGTTGACAATAGAAGGGTAAGGTAGGTTACAGGGAATTTATTAGGTATAGCTTCGTTTTTTACTTAAACTGGTTGAGAGAGGTACAGTCTTTAACATGGTTGGGAAGGTCATTCCACATTCTGGGCCCCTTGATTCGTAGAGCATTTCTAGTTTGATTAAGTCGTACTCTAGGAATATCAAAACTGTATTTATTTCTGGTGTGGTGCTCATGGGTTCTGTTACATCCTTCTATATGTTACCAGAAGAACACATAGATACTTTTATGACAAGGTACACAGACCATTTGCAATAGACATCCTTCTATATGTTACCAGAAGTACACATAGATACTTTTATGACAAGGTACACAGACCATTTGCAATAGACATTCAGACAATTCAACAAAAGGTGGCAATCTTGGTACACAATTCTGATATCTCGCCAGAATATCATCAACCTTTCAGTTGTGCCACAGTTGTTTAGGAACAATCTTAAACTGTTAGATTAAGGACCTACCCGAAACGCTATGCGTACTAGTGCCTTTACAAGAATGTAAAAACATCAATGCTATGTATTCTCATAAACCCAATGTACTTTCTTTTATATAAATAAATAAATAAATCTCGTCGCCGGTTCTGATACCGACGATCCGAAGTCATATCCGGATAATCCGGATTCTTGCTGGAGTTTGTTTACTGTCCGGCCGGGGGCGGATGGAGGAAGGTCGTAGGACTCGTAGCACATATCCTCAAAAGGGGGCGCACCCGATCCCTCGATCGCCGTCGCCCCTCAACCTATCCTCAAAAGGAAAGCTACCACACACAATACTGCACCTCTCATTGAGACGAAGGAGGTGGTAAGAATGTTATAGTTGTCTCCAGATACCATCCTTGGGGGCCCAGTGAGAGATGCTTTGCTTGCCTCTCACGGCAATATAATTTTGCCTTGGAGGGAGGGAGCAGTTACCAAATTACCTGAATTTACCTGAGGCCCCACTAACACTCTACAATTAGTTTCCTCGACGAAGACAGGAAGCCGTCGACGTGTTAAAGGTCTCGTCAATCTTTGCTATATGGGGTAATTATGTGAGCTGAGCTGCCTGGACGAGAGAGAGTGTAATTTATACTATTTTGGGTGTCAACAGTCAAAGAGTATGGTATTTCTTTTTACTTTCATTTAATATACATTGATTACAGCAATTAGATGTTAGAAATGGTACCATGGTACCACCAATCTATGGTGAGAGATTGAAATGAGGATGCTGTGAGTCAGGTGGGACAGGATGCTGAAGATGTTGCTGCTTTATTTCACATGTACTTTTCTATGTACCTTCCCCAGTGTCATGCTGCAGTTTAAGGACCACACAACACATCCACCTGAAATTAAGTAAAATACAACCTCTAAATTTTACAATTAAAAAACTTGATAAACCGTAAAAGAACCGTGCGGTGAATTATGGAAAGATTATGATATTTATTTAACAACCTGTCCTTCAAAATATTTTAAACCTTATAACTACTATAGATGGAATGTACAAAATATGCACTGTTGCATTCCCTCCCCCCCCCCCCCAAATTCAGGTTTTGTTCTATTGAAATTTTCAAAGGGATAATAAAAAGTGAGAGTAACTTTAAACATAACTTTTCCTAGGCCTAAAAATGCAATTCTAGCCCTAACATGCAATCTTAGGCCTTCTTTAGTATATTGATGTATTACATTAGGCCTGGGAAAAGTTAGGCTTGTTGCCTTCTATCCCTGTCCTTTACAAAATAAATAGTACATAATGTGAACTTTTGTGGGGTACATCAGTCTACATTTTGCACTTCCATCCACAGTAGCTTGAGATAAAATCATTTTTGGATAACAGATTGTTATTAAACAGGTTTCTACATAATTCCATTCATGTTTTAATATAATTTTATAAGTCTGATAGGTATCAGACTACTGTATATTCAGTGAATCTCTGTGTTTTGTTTAGGCACTGATGTCAGGAAATCAACTCCCGTCTAGAGACCAGCAACGTTATTCTTGATGGCAATTCATTAGGCGTACTGTTCGACTAGTCTTATGAATTGGAGGGATGCTGTTGTGGATGACTGCTGAAGTGTGGTGGTGCTTCTTTACCTGTGATTTTATATATGTTAATGTTAATTATTCTGGTATAACAAGTGGATGAGGGATATTTTTTCTCTACGCAGATACCTCCCCACCCCCATGAAAATGGGAATTAAAGTACAGTATTGGTACTGGATAAAAGCAGTTTGATGCCAAACAAGTGTGATAAGGAATTATACTGAACAGTATAACTGATTATAGTTGAACTAATTATCCATTTCTTTTTTTCAGAATAATTTTTGAACTCAAGATGAGTACAAAATTATTTGTTACATGTGGCCGAGGTTTGGGCACTTTTGCTGCACAAGAGATTCGTGAACAAGTTCCTAATGTTTGTGATATTCAGTCACTGGGGGAAGGCAAGCTGTCATTCACCATCAATCACGCAACTGGTGGGCTGCAGCAAAACATAAAGGCCCGTGAAGATGAGAGCAATACAGAAGGGGAAAAGGCAACAACTGATGATTGCAACAAAGCAGGAGATCGTGGCAAATTTTGTTCAAATGTTAAGAGTCAAGAAGAAGAAGAAGCAGACTTCGTTCATATCACATCACCAGTATTTAAGCTGAAAATGGTGGAGAGAATCTTCATGTTGCTGCATTGTGAACAGATTAACACTGCTGGTGAGTAAATCCTGAGTGCATATTATATTACTTCAGAATATGGACATCATTTTCATTGACTGACTGGTTTATCTGTGTAATTTTCTTTGAGCAGTTAGTTTTTTTTGTTACACCTGTTTCCTTCTAGTGGGTTATTCCCAAGTTTTGTGGTTGATATTTAATGAATTGATATCTAATGAGTTGATATCTAGTAAGTGAGGCAAATTCTGGTCCTAGCACCTGGTATACAACAGATAGGTATCAGAGGCCTGGTGTGCTGGGCCATGGCTTGGTAGTCCCAGAGTTAAGCTGGTAGTCCCAGAGTTAAACTGGTAGTCCCAGAATTAAGCTTTGGAGCTACTGGAGGCTCACCAGAAAAGAGCATTTCATTGCATTTAATGCTTGATTTTGTAATCAAGGCTGGAGCTTGCTTTTGTAATCAAGGCTGGAGCTTGCTTTTGTAATCAAGGCTGGAGCTTGCTTTTGTAATCAAGGCTGGAGCTTGCTTTTGTAATCAAGGCTGGAGCTTGATTTTGTAATCAAGGCTGGAGCTTGATTTTGTAATCAAGGCTGGAGCTTGCTTTTGTAATCAAGGCTGGAGCTTGCTTTTGTAATCAAGGCTGGAGCTTGCTTTTGTAATCAAGGCTGGAGCTTGCTTTTGTAATCAAGGCTGGAGCTTGCTTTTGTAATCAAGGCTGGAGCTTGATTTTGTAATCAAGGCTGGAGCTTGATTTTGTAATCAAGGCTGGAGCTTGCTTTTGTAATCAAGGCTGGAGCTTGCTTTTGTAATCAAGGCTGGAGCTTGCTTTTGTAATCAAGGCTGGAGCTTGATTTTTAAACAAAGCTTGATTTTTTTTAATCAATTGTTTCATTATCACTAACATTATTCACGTCTAATCAAAATATTGTAAATATTTATTATGGAATTACAACAAATCTGCCAGAAATGAGCTGTGTGGTTCAGGTATAAACTTTCCACAGTGAAAGGGTTAATACTAGTCACAATGTAAAAGTTGTTTCAGGCTACAGTACGATAAATCATAATTAACATCCCTGTTTAATATAGGCCATCTCACAACATATTAGTTTGAAATAAGATCAATGTGTCAATCCAATCATTTATTTCGTACAATGATGATAGTCAAGCAAGTATTTATGAACAAAAATAAACAGTCATTATTGAAGAACAGTACAAGCATTTAGACAAAATTTCCTGTGGGCATTCTGTATAAAAAAAAAAAACTAGCATAATATTTTCTGGGAGGGACCAAATTTTCAGGGCTAAAGCTATTCTCATCTCATTAAGTACATGTTCATATATATACAGTATATATACTGTGTATTACCTAAGTGTAATTACAGGATGAGAGCTATGCTCGTGGTGTCCTGTCTTCCCAGTACTCTTTGTTGTATAACACTTTGAAACTACTGACAGTCTTGGCCTCCACCACCTTCTCACCTAACTTGTTCCAACTGTCTACCACTCTGTTTACAAAAGAGAATTTTATTTTCTTATATTTCTCCGGTAGCTTTGTTTTGTTAGTTTAAATCTATGACCTCTTGTTCTTGAAGTTCCGGGTCTCAGGAATTCTTCCCTATCAATTTTATCGATTCCTGTTACTATTTTGTACGTAGTGATCATATCGCCTCTGTTTCTTCTATCTTCTAGTTTTTGCATATTTAATGCCTCTAACTTCTCCTCATAGCTCTTGTCTTTCAGTGTATGTATGTATGTATGTATGTATGTATGTATGTGTTTCCTTCTATATACGTTAATCAACGGGCAGTCAAGAACATAATGGGCGAGGGGTGTGAGACCTTAACATACCACATAGTTTATTATCATGTCATTATCATTAACACCTATTTCAAGGTTGTTTTGGTTTTCCTTTGATTGCTTCTGGGCTTTGGTGATCAGGCCAGAATCTGTCTCAGAGATGGCAAGATTTTTCCCTCTTTCCCAATTTGGGCTTGATACATCCACAGATACTCCTCAGGTGTGTTTCATTGTCCTGTGTGAAGGTAAAGACATGCCTGTGTATCCTTGGTTCCACCCAATTTCTGGTCAATCATTTGATCTGGTACCTATTCTTTTGAGTTTTGTTCCTATGCCATTTCCTAGTTACAGTACAGGGATTAGGTTCCTTTCACCTGGCTGGCAAATAACCCCTTTAATTTCAACGAGGAAGTGGCTTAGTATCATTTCGATCATGGAACTGTCATTTGTCGATCCTGAGCTGGAAGGAGGAATCTCTGTATGCATTTGCCCTGTCCAAAGATGTTATGTTTTGGCAGCTTTATGTCCAGGTTTTCCTCTTGCTTTTGACTTCGGTCATAATCATTTTCAAGGCCTCATTCCTAGCTTGTTCTTGTCAGTCAAAGAGATTTTTACTGACCAAATTACAATACGAGTTTGTCACCTTGGTGTGGCCTCTTCAGTTGCTGAGGGTCTTTGCGAGTTGTCACTTCACTTACTAAGGTTGTGGTTCTAGAAGTCTTTGTGGTACCTTGTGTGCAGGCTATCTCCAGTAGTCTGCTTGGCTGCTCTTGCTTCTGATGTCCTCTCCCTTTCTACTTTCCTGTTCTCTGGGGAGGATGTGAAATGGGTTTAGAATTCCACATAGTGTACATGACATTGCAATCCCTTCTCCAAGTGTTTTGGTTAAAATGTACCCCTCCTCCTATCCTTGAGGACTGTATTCAGCTCTGGGGTTCTCAATATCCTAAAAGAGGTAGTAATGTCTGTATAACTGTGGATTCTCTCTTTGCCTCTTAATTCCTTAGGCAAGTGCAGCATTTACGTTGAACATTTGCTAGATTTCTTAGTCCTTGTGGGCTTGGTTCCGAACCTCTTTCTAAGTGTCCCTACATTATGTATGGCCACCTGCTTCACTTCACTATATGCATACCTACTGGCATATTCCTATCTATTCTAATTTCAGAGGCTGGTTGGAGTTTCACATGAAGCACACCTCTTACCACTTTCAGGCTCCTTCCTTTGTGCTCAGCTTGGCACCCAGGATGTTTACCAGGCTTACTTTAATGGTACAGTACTTTAAGAGCTGCAGTTCTTGGGACTACTGGTCCTTGCTTGCCTAAACTGATTGGATTAGCCTCCCCGTTGATGGTCTTGCCAGCTGATCAGAGGTTTGGTGCTGTTTCCTAGGCTGAGCAAACAGCTCGGCTTTTCTCACGAGGAGCAGCATGGGGGATGCTGCTCCTCGTGAGGAAAGGTAAAATGATGTACATCAAGATAAAATTATGTACCTTGTGGGGGTACATCATTTTTGTGGATTACATATGACCAGTTCAGCCCTGGTTCCAGACCTTTGACTAACCTAGATGATCAACAGTCACTTTTAAAGCAGATTCTTCACATCTCTGACCATCTGTATATCGGTTTTAATGGTTGTCTACCTCTGTCAATATGGTTACTCATTTGCAGGAGTCGTCTTACCGCGAATACGAGGTGACCTGACAGTTCTTTCAGCTTTTTCTTTCTCTCCAACATGCCTCTTCTATGTCTGTTGCACTGGTTATATATTTTCTCTTGAATCTTTGTCCTGTTGATCTTGAACACTATATTGTCGTATTACTGTATTTGGCTGTTTCTGAGCCCCTCTTTTTTGGTTTGTAAACTTGACCTTGTCTGTGTCTTGTTTTAAGCTTAATGAGACTTTCTTTCATCTTTGCCCTGCTTGTCCTCAATTGGATCCTACTTGGTTTCTAGATGTCATTCTGGATCTTTTGCTCTCTCCTTGCTCCTGGATTTCTTTCTTTTGTTGGCATTACTCTGAAGACTGTGTTTTTGTTGGCTTTTCCTTCTGGTTATAGGGTTGGGGAGCTCTATGCTTTGCAGCAGCAGCTGCTTTTCTTGGTGCATGTCGCTGATGATAGGTTTGTGTGCTTACAATACGTTCCATTATTGTTGGCAAAAAAAATTTGTCCCATACTTTTTATTGGGGTCCCATTATTGTTGAGACATGGTTGTTTGCCTGTCTATTCACCTTATTTGTATCCCAATTGCAGTTTTACTCTGGTGTCACTGGGCCTCGAGTGCCTGTTGCACATCTGCTCGGTTCATTAATCCTCATACTTTGGCCATTTGGACCAAGACTTGTCTCGTGCAGTTGCTGCAACAGGTGGTCATGTTTATTTAAGCCACATGTTTACCCCTGTGCTCATGATCGGTGGAAATACAACACACTTGAAGCTTTCATCTCGGCAATGTCTTCTTCTGAGATTTGGGCTCATGGTATCGGAAGGTCAAACCGGATTCTTCTCTCTTAGTTAACTTCTGGGCCAGCCACGTTCTTGATTCAGATGTCGCCTTAGATCGACTGTTGTGTGTGTGTGTGGTGTCTAATGTTCACTTTACCTTGTCGTCTTTGCTTCCTTTGGTTCATGATTTCTGGTATTCTTCCTTAGGTTTGAATGTTTACTTACATTTGTTTGTTATTGTTTCATTTCTGTTGTATATTCTTCATCTAGCTTATCAGTTATGTCTATAAATTGCATGAATTTCAAGTGTCATTCAAAATCTCAATAACTGAAAGCAGCTGAAATGCACAGGCAAGATTCAACACCAGACTGTTCTATCAAAGGAAAAAAAGTACCCAGATGGAACAAGATTAACAAAATTAGGAAGATTGTTTTAACAAACAAATACTGTGTATATATATATAATGTATATATGGTAGTTTTTTTATAATACCGGGTACTGTAATTATATTCTAATTCTAGAAATTGTTGTATTTTTCAGTTTCATCTGGTCATAGTAATGACATACCCAATGAACCGATTTCAGATCTGAATATGAGACAAAATGCAGAGGAGCATTCAATAGAAACAAAAGTACACTACTCGGAGGAAATGTGTTGTGTGAAATTGCAGAATCCTGAGGTTAGGTCAGATGGCAAGAAAACTTTAAATCAAGATTCAAGATCTAAGAAGATCATCTTAAAAGAATGTAAGTTTATTATTTTGTAAATGAGGGAATAATGAAAACCCAGTGGTTTGCATACATGTAACCAAATAGTGAACATACTGGAATTGAGTCTAGTATCTTCTGTGATATTAAATGTTTAAATAACTGTGCTCAACATTAGCACATTCTTTTGATTAAGCTGTTACATATTGGTAATGCTTAATTTGCTGTAGCCAATATTGCAGTCACTGCAGGAGTGGCAGATCTTTGTTTCATTCTGGTGTCTGCCTTCCAAGACAGATTTTGCATTATATTATTTTTTCATAAGGCACATCTTTTTTTTTTTTTTTTTAGGCTCTGATTTTTCATTACGTATTTGAGACTAAAAGCTTGTTAGGTTTATTGAAGTTCCCTTAAGGACTTCCACTGACCCTCCATAGGCCCAAAATTGGGTTCGGATAATTTTCTAACAAACTTCGCTATATCTGAACAGAAATTCGGATAACCGAAGATTTGGCTGGATAATGCAGACTGGCTCAGAGTCTTAAGTCAAATGATGACTGGCAAAACTTTGCCATATCCAAACAGAAATTTGGATAACCTGAGATTGGGTTATGCAAATTTTCAAGAACTACACATTTTAAGATTACAGTATCACACAAGAAGACAAACTGCAACAAGGTAAACTGGTGTTTCTCTTTTAAATTATATTTTTGATTTATAGTGTGTGTGTGTGTGTGTGTGTGTGTGTGTGTGTGTGTGTGTGTGTGTGTGTGTGTGTGTGTGTGTGTGTGTGTGTGTGTGTGTGTGTGGAAATAAGAATTATAATGGCTGTGGTACATAAAATTGCTAATATGGTCATTTTTGAACTTCTCCCCCTGAAGGAATTCTGCTTACAGGAGAAGCCAAAACCACTTGGGCTGGACAGTGGAGTGAAAGCAAACACCAACCATTTTCTAAGGTTGGTGTTCAATTCAATTGGTGTTCGGGCACCTGACAGCTGAGTGGACAGCACTTGGGATTCATAGTCCTAAGGTTCCGGGTTCGATCCCCGGTGGAGGCAGAGACAAATGGGCACAAAGTTTTTCACCCTGATGCCCCTGTTACCTAGCAGTAAATAGGTACCTGGGAGTTAGACAGCTGCTACGGGCTGCTTCCTGGAGGGTGTGTAACAAAAAGGAGGCTTGGTCGAGGACGGGGACGCTAAGCCCCGAAATCATCTCGAGATAACCTCAAGATCACTGACTATCCATGTGGTTGGGCACTATTTCTTTCCCCCGTCCCATCCCTAATCCTTATCTTGATCCCTCTCAAGTGCTATATAGGCATAATGGTTTGGCACCTTCTCCTGATAGTTCCCTAGCCCTTCCCATCAAAACCACTTGAACATCAGGTTCAGTAAATGTATGATAAACCATATTAATTTTTTTTTATTTTTTCGACAAATTATTCTTATAAAACAGGCACATGTTTTTCACCAGATAATACGGTATACTGTATGTTGTATATAAGGCAATGCTAAGGGTAGAAATATTAAATGTTTCTTGGTACTCTTATTTAAACCGATTGAATATTCTTACAACGTATGCCCTGTTCATATTTTTCATTATTTATTTGAATAAATACAGTTTTTCAGGGTGCGGTACAGTTTAATTGTACCCTGATAATAATGTAGAAGAGTTCTGTCTGTGAGTTCTGTTATGTCCCTGTAAGGAAAAGGCTCAAATCTGGGTTTTTATTGAGGTACTGTACAAGTACAACCTCAATTCAACAAACTATATGGGACCAACCCCTATTCAATATTTTCAATAGCCCTCCCAAGATTCCCAGTGTTTCTTGTAATAATGAGTCCATCAACAAAAATCATCAAAAACGTGATTGTAGCCATATTAAGAGTCTGACCATTTATACCTTAATATTTCCCCACACTCTGTGGACTGATTTCACTGAGCAAAATTATAATTTCAAGCTGTCATGTGAAGGGCAACAACCAAGAGAACCTGTCTGTGAAGACAGGTTCTGTGAAGACAGTTGAAGAACCACATCTAGTACATTTCCCATTCCCAAGCTTCAAAATCTCATTTTCAAAGGAGAAAGGGCCCATTTTTTACTGAACGAAAACCTCTGCAACTAGGGGAGGGGGGGACACATAGAATTTGGTTTCAGATGCTCAGTATTGGCTTTCCCAAGCCTCCAACTATTTCTTGTAATCTGGCCTCCATCTGTGAACTTGGTCCCAACATCCTAATCAAATCCACACATCCCCTGCTTCCTATTCGTCGAATTGGGCGAGTACATTGGAGATTCACTGAATCAAGGTATAGTACTTTGAATTGGGGTTCCACTGTACTGTACTATAGAGTATATACTGTACAGTACTATATATATATAGAAAACTGAAGAATGAATGTGCATGTTTGGCATCTTCAAATATTTGTACAATGATACTGTGTTCTAAAGGTTAAGGTAAGGTCGTCCTAGAAAGGTATATTTTGGGTTAAACCAATTTTGCTAGATACCGGTGCCACAGCAATCCTAACACCAGTATCTGGTTACCAAAATAAGCAAGCATATTTAAAATAAATTTAAAATACCACCAAACCATGTCGGCACACCATGCTCCATTGATGTGTCATTTTGTGCATCAATATCAGATCTTGATGCTCAAAGGTTAATGAGTCATCAAGCATATGGGTAGCTAATTCCAGTATCCAGCCAAGCAAAGGGTCATAGATTTCTTTTGCTATATTCATTAAGTTTATTATAAAGAATGGAGTTGTAACCTTGCTGAACAGGACTACTATACAAATTCTTTGTGGAAATGCCCCTTCTCTCCCCCATTTCCCTACAAACATTCGCTAACCTTCCCCAAAAAACTTGTTTTTGTTGTATCAGTTTAACAAGTGGAGTTGCAGTATGAATTTTCTGTCATCTTGGTCATTGATGATGTGGTGTATGTTGACCAAACCACACTAGAAAATGAAGAGATGACGACGTTTCGGTCTGTCCTGGACCATAATCAGGTCGATTGTGATGAGACGAAGGAAGCAAGGGCAAGGGTAATGTAGTCTAGTGTGTGTTGACTACAAATTCTATACACTAAAAATTAAATTGTCTTAATTCCTTGTCTCTCCATCTTCACTGCACCTTTGCATCATCTTATTTTCCCTTTTATGAGAATTTATCCCTTCGTTTCTTCCTTTGATTGTATAGCCCTTAGAAGAGTAATGGCATATCCAATAACGTCTTCTCTCATGTGTAGGTTTAGATTACCATCAACACTTTATGCTTTGCTCAAATAAAGTATGAATGAGAAGGAAATATAATTCATAATTCAAGTTTTTATGCTCTTTTGCAGATGAGAAAAAATTGATGGACATTGTGAAGAAATGTGAATGGGCAAATATAGCAAGGAGAGTGAAGGCCCTGAAGGACTTCCATCACTATGTAGCTGGAAATCGTGTACTCTGCAAGAATCCCAACACCTGCCCTGGATCTCTTAATAGGAAATGTGACAAACAGCAGTTGCAGCAGAAGCGCGAATCTGCTTTAATTTCCTCTAACTTAAAGAAGAATTGCCAGAATAGAAGTGTTGCTCGAAAGAGAGATTTCAGCTTGAATACCCGAGACAAATCTTACAGAAGTAATTCGAAAAGAAGAAGATTGACTAGTAGTGATCGAGTATCTAGTATATATGTTAGTGGTAAAAGAAAAATCATGTTAGAACATACTACAAGTGAGTCTAATAGCATTATTACAGAAAATGAAGAATTAGATTTTAAAGACAGAATGTTACTTAATATATCTGAAAAAAATGAGCAACTGCCAGATAGAAATATATCACTTGAAAAAGAGCAGATTTCTATAAATGCAGAATACTCTAACAACATTAATCTACAGGCTAAAGAGATATCTAAGCTTATTCCAGCACATAATAATGGAAAACCAGCAGAAGTGAAAACCTCAACAAATGCAACGCTCGCACCATTAACAGGAAACGAAATCACTTTTAATGTTTTAAAATCTCCAGATTTGGCCGATGCTTCACTGAAAGAGATCAGCCCAGATCAACATAAGAAAACAAGCGATAACGAAGAAACAGTGAGTTTCAGGGTGTCGTGCCGGGTCTCTGGTCCACATAAGACTGTACTAACTACTGATTGGCTTACAACGACCTTTGTGCACCAGTTAAATCAGGTGATGATGAGCTGGACCAAAAATTGGAGAGAGCCTGTAATGGATTTTTATGTGAATATTACAGATTCACATTTTATTTTAGGTAAGTAAATTAGTGCACATTAATATTTTGACAATTTTAGATAAGTCTGTTTTTCAACAAAAATATTAAAAAATATGTGATTGGTTTAATTAAAATATATTTATATATGTGCATAAATAACTTATTTGATTGTGATAATGAGATTATGAATAAGATTGGTGTTAACACTTGTACAAATACAAAGTGAAATGAAAATAACAAATGATGCTGTAGATGACTATGCCTAGCTGGAGTGCGGTGGTGGTGGGTCACTGTGATCATGTGAAGTATGCAGTATATGATGACAGAACTGGTTTCATTTTTTAATATCTATTCATTGCTTATACAGTGCTCTTCTATGGGGTAATAATGTATTTAGAAAGCTATTGGCAATTCCAGCAGAGCTGCCTTTTAAAGCATAAAGGTTACATTAAGATTCTTGTCAGGTTGTCTCCAAAATTTCTCAAATACATGCCAATATATGTAATTATATGTTAAAGTAAGTACAGTACATTAGATAAGTCACCTTCATCATTATTATTACTGTTTCCCATTTTCATGGGGTAGAGGAGGCATTCCTCCCAGGGGGAAATAAACACAATATTGGAAAATGATGTAAAAAAGACCCTAAAAGAAATTCATCTTCTTACGATATCTTCTACAGTGCATATGGAGTCATTGCATAGAATCAGCACTGCCTCTTTCCAGCAAAATATTAATAACAACACCATTTCATATAAATTGTCATTTAAAACTTCATTCTGCATGTAACAGTATGTAGTTGGTCTCTAGATCCTAGATGTTGCCTGAGGTATCCACATTCAGATTACGTTTCTCTATCTTTCTGGTGTCTATATAGGTGGAAGTAGTTGTTGGTCCTGTTCCAGATCTGGTACAGTACCCTGCTTTCTAGTGTAGGGGTGGGCTAGTTTTTAGCTTTTGGCTGTGGTGGCTGGTCTGTTGCCCTAACACCATGATGTGGTGTGTGCTCATTGCTGAAGTGTAGTGTTTCTAGTCCATCTTCAGCTTCTATTGTTGGGTGCCAGCTTCCTTTCTCCTCACTGTGCATTTTGTGGCTTGTGACCTTGCCTGGCCTGTTCATGTTTAGTCCTTTCCCTTTCTGTTCTTGGGTTTTGGGAATGTCGTTTACTGTACCAGTTTATTTCCCTTTTGGCATCCTTTTAGTTTCCAAACTGTCCTGTTAAGCCTGAAGGTGGGCCTTATTTTGGGTCTTTACCTTTTGGGTGATTCTATTTTCCCTCAGCACCGCAGTAGGTTTGTACAGCCACTTGCCACTGGCTATCTGCTTGCGTTAAAATGTTCTTGAATTGGAGCTTCTGCTCTGGATTGGCCAATGACGGATTTTGCTTCCTGGCTCTTCCCTGCTCCTTGTAGGTCCGGTTTTTCAACCATCCTTTACTCAAAGTGTCTCAGAGTTCTATCATTGTATCATCTCCCTTGATTGGTTCTGGGGCATCTGGTCTTCCTCCTTCATTATACCCCTTTTCCTTGGAGTCTCATTTTGTATCTGTCTAATCCTGGCTTTTCAATGTTCTCTTAACATGGGGTGTGCCACGATACGCCTGGTGACACTATTTGGCCCTTCAGGAGTGCCTAGTATTGTCTTCTCAGTGGAGCAAAATGCATCTTACATATCAAAATGGTGGTGAAAATCTTTCTATAAGGCAATACTGTATTAATTAGCCATGAATTTGTATGTACCATGGAATTGCTTAATCAAATACTCATTGAAACATATAGAATTGGTCACGAGTTCAGCAAATTTGGCGGGTTTTCATTTACGTTTATATTTGTAGGTGTCTCGCTGGCGCACAAGACACTCTCTTTACGGCATTACATTCCACACCTCACGCTTCGCTCTACAATCTGCTACCTGATGGCCAGACTGTCTCAAGTATCCCCTGGTTGTGTACTCCTGGACCCAATGTGTGGAGGGGGAACCATTCTGTTGGAGGCAGCTACAAACTTTGAGGTAGAACTGAGCCTTATACTTTGTTTTGGTGGCTTGCCTTGTAAAATATAAAATCTGTTTATTCTATGCTTTGAAAAAAAATATCCTCCATACAGCTCATAAAATTATAAAGGACATTTAATTGTCACTAAAGAATTGACTTAGCTCTTCCCAATCACACACTACCCATTGATAAGCGATGCAAAGAACCCCATTTTCCTTGCAATAAGAAAGTGATAACTCGGCTGAAGATCCAATTTCTTTATCTTCACTCCACTCCACTAAAGACCAAGTGCCTCTTCTCTCCATACAAAAGAGAAATGAGATAATGATGGTGGTGATAGGTGTTGTACTGTGTGTTTTTAATCCTGACACCAAAACAGATTTTTGTAGTCTTTTGAGCTGTGCTATTAGACATGCAGTTTAGAACTACATTATGCATTATTTTGCAGGTTATTCATGTTATAGGAAGTGACTTGAGTACAGAGCAGCTAGAGGTATCTAGATGTAACCTCCGTGGTCTCGGTATCCCCGTTAGTCTCCTACACGCTGATGCTACTGGTAAGTTGACGTTGTTATCTTGTGTATTACTTGATTCAGACACATTTTCTTTGATAAAACAATTAGAAGTTGGCTTCTAAATAATTTAAGAATTTGTTGTTATATACACAAGAATGAAATTTTAAATTGACCATGGAAGTCCTTGTTCTGTGTAGAATTTGTATAAGTGCCGTTAATACTAGATACAGTTTATTCCCAGTTCTGTGTGGAAGGATCGAAGATTCTCCACTTATCTTTCCATCCATTTATCACCATATTGTTTCTTCTCCCTTTTGTGGGGAGGGAGTCATCAATCTGGAGGAAAAAAGTGAATAATATAGTGAAAGAAGGTTAAAATAATAATAATAATAATATAATAATAATTTATTTAGGAAAAGTACATACATAGTTGCAGAGTTACAGTACAAACATTCTGTTTGATTTAAAGATAGAGGTAGTACATACAATACCTAAAGCCACTAGTACACATAGCATTTCGGGCAACACTTTTATAGATATTATAAAAATATATCACATTATATTTACACTCCTGTATTTAGCATCGCAGATGAACCGGCACTATTTCACCCTCAGTATTCATCCACATACCAGTTGACAAGACCAGATGTACAGGGCTCTTCATAAAATGGCATATACTGTACAAATAAAGACATTCACTTACAAACTGCTGCCTTCAGCCTAGTCCCTTAATATACATTGTGCATTGGTCACACCCTAATACTTTTTCACACACACACACCTATACTGGAGTCTGCTAGTCCCCAAAAGTGAACTGTGGATTAGTAAGTAGGCAGATTGCCAAGCATTAATGTTTAGAATCATTTTACTTTTGATTGTCAGTCAATTATTGTATGCTATATTCAATCTATTCCACTACGTTGCTTTCTAAGGGAATAGTTTGTTTGGGTTAATATCTGATGAAACCCCTGCCTCTGAAGGAGAGCATGAAGCTCCCAAACCCAACAACTGGAGGCGAGAGCCAACAAAAACACTACAGTACCTCAAAACAAATATTCCACAATGAATGTGCCACTGTTAACAGAGGGAAGAAAAGCAGTGCCAAAACTTTGTCAAGAGACAGATGACTCAGAAGCATCATGAGCTTGCAGGAGATAAAAAGAGAGCAGAGACAACTTGTAAAATGGCGCCAAGGCTGAATTGATATGAAATGTAAGCTACAGCAGCTCTGCCAAAGTTCAATGACAAGAGGCAACGGTATTAGGCATGAGATGCCGAGTCATAAAAACTAAGACAAAAAGGACAATCACAGGAATAGCGACAGGACAAATGACAAAGGGACAGAAAGAGATGAATCGAGACCCTAGACACTTCATACAATTGCCACAAAGACACACGCAGGTGGGACACCAACAATTTGGCTACCTACTCACCATACAAATTTTAGATAAACTTGCGTCAGAAACTTTAGACGTGTGGAGCAGAGCAGAACATGGAATCAGCAAAGTATGTCAACAGGCTGATCTGCTGAAAAAGTGGCAAATCTGCAGAAAAATGCCTATGTTCAAACACTAGGCCAGAAGAACTAGAAACCAAGGCCAAGCCATGGAGCCAGAAGGATCACCTTACCCGAGTATGACGCCAGTCTGAACACCCAGAGCAACAACTGAACTGGGGACAGAGGTAATTGAGCCCTCCACTTCGACCAGCCCAGCCAAAAGGCATTCACTGCAAGAGCCTCATGATCAGGAAATAGAGCTACATAGGATGGAAAATGCTGATACCATGCCTCTTGTCATTCAACTTTGGCAGAGCTGCTGTCGCTTACATTTTATATCAATTCAGCCTTGGCATCATTTTACAAGTTGTCTTGCTCTCTTTTACCTCCTACAATCTCATGCTGCTTCTGAGTCATCTGTCTTTTGATAAAGTTTTGGCACTTTTTCTTCCCTTTGTTCACAGTGGCACATTCATTGCGGAATATTTGTCTCGAGGTACTGTAGTGTTTTTGTTGGCTCTTGCCTCCGGTTGTTGGGTTTGGGAGCTTCATGCTCTCCTCCAGAGGCGGGGGTTTTGTTCTTTTGGACCTGGTAGGTGGGTGCTTTGTTTGGTTGCATCCTTCACCTTTTCTGGGAAAGAATGTGAGTTGATTGGCTTTCAGAGGAGTCCTTTGGTAATTGATGCTTGGTTGGTCTGGCCAGGGGAGCATCATTTGTTCTGTCCAATGGTGGCTCTTCACTGTTGTCTGCATGCCACTTGCTCTGCCTCAGTTGACACTTCATTGGTTGATTCTGTATCATTGGTCTCCTGTTGCAGGGTATATATTTCTCAGGTTGTCCACCATATCATTAAAGTTCAGATCATAAATTCAGCTTTGGCTGCTGTTTTTTCAAATATGTCATGGGCTGATATTCAGGGTTCTGGAAGCCTTAACAGGGTTGTTGACCAAACTGCACACCAGAAGATGAAGAAACGATGTCGTTTCGGTGGTACGATGCATAGATGTACCAAACTGCATCTGTGTGCTGCGGCAGTGTGCCTTGTGCTATGAACATCATCAACTGCATCATATTTACTAATATCTGAAAATCATACATGCCATAGTTTTTAATCACTGTTGGGATCTTATATATCGCTATCGTCATTAAATGATTGCAGTTACTTAATGAAATCAATGTGATGCTGTGGGAACAAGGTGCATAATGGTGCTGCAAGAAGCTGAAGCTGCTGAAGCTGAAACTGCTGCTGCTGAAGCTGACTTGCTTACTTGCTTGCACTACACTTGGTTGTTATATTAGTACCGAGGCCCCTGACACCCAGGAGTGTAAGTGAGGGCATAACTTGCTTTGCTCCCAGGATTTCCCCCCCCCCCCCCCCCCAAGATGGGAAGAAATTCTCAAGTTGAATTCCCAAGAAGATATGCAGAGTTGAAGGGGTCAAAACTTATTAAGAATTTCATCATTTATGGACTTGAAAACCACTATGACTAATGAGAAAATATTGAGGCCATTTAATCTCATCGAGCCGCATCCCTGAACTCTTCAGGCAGTCGGTAGAGCATATGCCAAAGGAGTCCAGAGATGTTGGTTTGATACCATTGTATGACCTCAGTATTTTCTCGTTGATGCAACACTTGTAATTTAGTTTTTTTTTTAAATATCTTTTAGTACTTAGTAACATGTTTCTTGACTTTATCATTCCTGTAAATGGGTCTTTAGAATGGATGAAATCATTTCAATGAATACTGTATAATGTACTGTATTCACTTATTATTAAAGTATAGAATTTGAGAATCATTATAAAGATTATCTTCTGGCTTTAAGGACATTAGCAAATTTTGATTCCAGCACTGCCACTGCAGAGTGCATCTGTCAATGTTGTGCTGTGTGACTTCCCATTTGGTCAAAAGCACAAGTCCGCTGTGGATATTACAAAGCTGTTAAGAGGAGTTATCCTGGAGTGTCAGAGGTATTGTTTTCAGTGTTTTCATTTGCGTTATGAATATTTTATATTCAGTTTGTAAACAATGCACGATATATTGCAACAAGGAATGTGTGAGAGATGTAAATAAATATTGTGGTAGTGGTGGATAAATTCCAGAAATGAATGTCAGTTATGTAATATGGTGATAGGAATGTGCCCATAAAACTCAGATGGCACCATGTGTAGGCAGAATTGGACTCATGTTTCATGTAATAATGTGTGTAATGTTATTGCATGACTTGAGTGTTTAAATGTTTTGAAGTAGACTTTTGACATTTCTAATCTTGACATTGGATACAGTGTAATTGTTTCTGGGTGGGGAGGGAGAATGGTAGCACCCTGTAGCTAGCACTGTGAGGGCTACGTACACACACGAGTCACATCAGCCTCAGGAGTCTTTGATAGCCTACCAGAATCAAAACCTGGTCCGATTCTTATGACCACTGTTATCCTAGGAAATATTCAGGAAGTAATCAAAGCCAAACAGACATCTGTATTGTTCACAGAGAACTGAGAAGGGAAATAGCAAACCACTTTTCAAACCACTTGGTGGTCAGTTCAAACCTCTCTTACAGTTGACCACCGATAGGTGGCAGCATAATCAGAAGCTGCCGGCTCCTATGACAACACTCTTCAGATCGTTCTCTCATGTCAACCTGTGTGGACTGCTCCTTTAGTCATTAGCTTTAGCAGGTCCCAGCTTTTTTTTAGACAAGTGTTGGCCCATCCTTCAGACTGTCCTGTGGGGGGAACATTTGCGTGGGTATTGTTTCCAGGTTTAGGGTTTGATTCACGTTCATGGGTTTACAAGCCTCAGTTGTGTGAACCTTGCTTTCTTTTTCTTCAAGCCACATGTGTTTAGGACAGCCTTTTGCTAGGTGCTCATTTGTCACTGCTGCTGCTGCCTTGAGAGAGATTTGTTTGGTGGGTTTGGGAGTTCGTCCCCCTAGAGGCCAGACTACTGTGTACAGTACCTCACCCTAAGTAGTGCAAGGGGTTTTGACTCCTCTGCAAGACTCTGAAGATGGTGGGGGCAATTGGGATTTATTATTGAGTGGTGTCCTGAGTGCTTGTACATATGGAATGCTGCTGAAACCCTTCACAGCCATGTTTATCCATGGGTGTACTTTTCACATCGGTTCTTTCGGTAAAGATCCCTAGTGTCTGGGGTGTCCTGCTTAGCCCTTCCTTCAGGCCCTGGCAAGCCCCGCAGGTCTTGGGCATGGCTCATTATGGAACGATCCACCAAGCCCACACTTGCTACTTGCAGGTTTGAGGGATGTCCGTCAACATCGCTACTTGTTGATCGTCATTCTTTGTCTCAGCCATGCTGCCTTTTGGGTAAGTAATGCCCCACCTTCAGGCCTGGACATACATTTTTTATGGGTCTCTATTGTAGCGGAGCCTGCCCCAAGACAGGCCGCTTATCCGGCAGCAGCACTGTATGGGTTGGTTTTGCCTGTATTTGCTCTGTGTGGCTTGGTGTTTACATGGATGGCTCAGAGATGGCCATCACTCAGATGATAGTGTTTAGGAACTGAGTTGATGGGGTTGATGGTATTGTAAATTTGCCCCCCCCCCCCTTTTGGTTTTGCCTGATGTGGCTCATCTCTTTGTCCCCCACCTTGGGCTCTTGTCCCCACCCCTCACTTGCTCCAGACTCTGAAACTTGTAAAGGTTTCAGAGCATGGGCAGGGTGTAGCTCAACCACCTCCGGGGTTTGCCCCAGCCACATCGACAGCAGAGACAGTTCGGCCATCCCTTCCTGCTCGGGATTTTTAGCCTTCTAGTGTTACCTGGTCCTTTTTGTGCTTGGGTTGCTCATGGTCAGACTTCTCGGCTTTCTTCGTCAAAGATTAGTCTTTACTTTTCTCACCTGTAAATCTTGGTATCCTTCTCTGGTGTTAGTTGCTGAGAGGTCTCTCCAGAATATCAGTGTTGGATATAATGAAATGCCTGTCTAGTTGGGACTCGGTGGTTGCTTGGCCTGCCCCTCCCACTGTAGGTGTGTCATTTCATGGTCTCCAGCTCCAGACTGATATGTGTCAGGGTAGCCGACAGCTCCCAGTAGATGTTTGAACTGACCGCATCATTAGTAGAGTGATTTGCTAATACAACGGGCTCACCATATCCCATGCTGCTGCTTGGAACTTTTGTTCCGAGTAGGTGAATCTTAAACAACAATGCTGCTCTTCTTGTTTCTCTGCGTATCTGCAACTGTCTCTTTTGCTTTATTTACTTTCTGGCTCTTCAGTGAGAATGATCATAACAAACGATCTAGAATGATTCTGTATTAAACGAAAACACCTTTTTTTTTTTTAAGGGTGGGGGGAGGGGTTGGACACAATCGTGCCACATGATGTACACACCACTTGAGGATCTTGTAATGTTTTCATAATGTCTCTTTATATTGACTCGAGACTTACAGATACAGTGTATCAAAGAAAGCTTCCTATTGAAGTTTGGAAGTGTAGCCTGTTTAAGGCCTTTGGTGTTTTTAAGAGGTACTAGTGACCCAGTTTTTAATACAGTATTTTAAGTAAATAGTTCACAGTGTGTTCTATACAATCAGCATTAAGTCACAATACTGTGGCCAATACAAATATACCTTCCCCCTCGCATGTGATTTAGGGGACAACTTATTTTTACTTGTGAATGTGTTTTCAAATGGATATTTTATATTCATAATAATCGTACAGTACTTGTTTTAAACGCTAGATTCAAATAAATAAATTGGTTGTCATGTTTCAGTAATTATTACTGCAAAGTTGTTTGCTTGGCCTTTCCAGTGATACAAATCAAAGTTCTATGTAGTTTAATTTCATGTGGGTTGAATTATTCTATACAAATCTGTTAAGTTTATGGCACATGTGGTAGAGCTTGTAGGCACTGAGGGGGGAAACTGTTTTTACACCTGGGATCCCTTCCTCGATCACCTGCAAGTCGAATCATATCTGTTCACACACATTTTCTCATTACAGGGTTCTTGTGCATGGTGGAAGGGGAGCGTTTCTGTTGTCCAGACACCAGCACCATCTCCTTTCTCAAGCTGCTCACATGGACTCTACCGGCCAAGCACAAGGTATTTATGCCCCCCCCCCTCACCCCCTTCATTTTTCATTTCTAAACTCTCTACTCCATTCACCCTTTTCTCTCCTGAGTACAGGGAAGAGGTGATAGAGGAGGGAGAGAGGGTTAGGGAAAAGTGGAGGGGAGTGATGAATGGATGTAGTAGTAAGAGTAAAAATGAGAGGAGAGAATAAAAGTAAGGGAAAGGGGGCTGTGGAAGGGGGAGCCACTCTTCTACATCTTCCATTCTCCATTTCTTTCACCGTCTTCTCGCATTTTTAATCTTACTACTGCATCCATTCATCACTTCCCTCCACCTTTCCCGAACCTCTCTCTTCCCTCTATCACCTCTCCCCTATTGAGGTGGGAGGGAGGGAGGGAGGGTGGGTGGGTGGGTGGGTGGGTGGGTGGGAGGGAGGGAGGGGGGGTGAGGGAGGGAGGGAGGGTGGGTGGGAGGGTGGGAGGGGGTGGGTGGGGGGGTGGGGGAGGGAGGGAGGGTGGGTGGGTGGGTGGGTGGGAGGGGGGGGAGGGAGGGAGTGTGGGTGGGTGGAAATGGAAAATGAAGTACCTTCCCCTCCCTTCCTCCCTCCTTCCCACCCTCCCCTCCCACCCTCCCGCCCAAACCCTCCTCCTCCCCCTCCCTCCTCCCCCCCCCCCCTCCTGTCCCTCATTTAGTATCCTGTCTTTTCCAGAGCTGCTGCTGACAGTGGAAAGTGTTCACTCTGTGTCTCTGGGAGAGACGTCTGCCTGCCTCACCGTGCTGCTCAAGAACCATCACTAGCTCTCACTCGCTCCTCCAAATTATTCATCGTTTCCCTGGTCGACATACAGAGTACCAAGACACTGGACTACATGTACTTTTGGAACCACCACCTGAAAGATCAGTAAAATTAGGGATTCTCAAGTGTTCAGTAATTCACATTCAAAATTGTGAACATTTTTTTTTTCCATCTTAAAGCATTAATGTACAGCTAGAGAAATTTTTCAATGTAATTTTGGTACAGACTTTACTAAAATAAAATTGTGTAAATGTAATTTTGTTTCATTTTGCATTTTCCAACTCCACCATATGAAGGTAGTGGCAAGGACACAGCCCCTGAAGACACTGGTCAACTAGTAGATGGGGAGGATAAAATGAGCACTATCAAGTGCTATAGTACTCACTATCAAGTGAGCACTATCACTATTTAATAAGAAAGATACAGAATGCTGAAAAAATTACTATATCTTACAAACCAAATAAATCTCCCAATCCTGGTACAGAATTTATTAGTTCTAAAACAACAAAAGCTCAGCCACCAAGTAATTATCAAGAAGCAGCATCAAGCTAAGAATTCTTATTCAGAACCATCGGAGTCTGGAGATGTTCATAAGGCACTAAAGATCATTCAAGATGCCAATGAGAAAATGTACTATGTGACAAGAACAGTTTTTCTAAACCAGGTTAGGGGAAAATCTCATTTTCTACTGCCATGAACAACTGGTCCTTCACTCAGCAATCAAACTGTGCTCCAAAGTTGCAGTTATTAGCCATTGCCTTCAAATCTCTATATAAATCCTGTAAGGATTCATGTTGCTTTTTCAACCTTGCTGGAAATCCATCAAATGCATCTGCTGTTAATCCTTGTTACCACTGTTATAATAAAAGTGGAGAGAGATATGAACGTATTATCCACATGGCATTTATTGACAACAATGACGTCACACCGAGTATAGATGCCTAATCTCGAGGTTATCTCGAGATGATTTCGGGGCTTAGCGTCCCCACGGCCCGGTCCTCACCCAGGCCTCCTTTTTGTTACACACCCCAAGGAAGCAGCTATCTCCCAGGTACTTTTTTATGTTAGGTAAACAGGTGCATCAGGGTGAAAGCAGCTCTGCCCATTTGTTTCCTCCTCCACCAGGGATCAAACCCGGAACCTCAGGACTACGAATCCGAAGTGCTGTCCACTCAGCTGTCAGGCCTCTTATCTGTCAGGTTAGGTATTGCCAACAAGGGTGTTGGCAATAGTGTGTAAACACTATTGCCAACACCCTTTGGTGTTCCCAGGCTGTCACCCATCCAAGTACTAACTAAACCCAACGTTGTTTAACTTCGCTGATCGGACAAGAAGCAGTGATATGGCTGTTGTAGCCAACAGCCAACGTGGTATGGCTGTTGGCATACCAACAATATTCAATGCCCTGAATATTAACATTACCTATTTTATAGACAAATGAGCATTGGTTTCTAACATTGTGACCCTGATCTTAAGTGGCCTTAATCCTAACAGTACCATAGGCATAATCAACGTCTGCAGGAACTTCCATATCTAGATCACCTGACGGTTACCGAGATGGGAGGAGAGGCTGGAACAAAGATGGAAGAGGAAAGGACTGAAACCTTCTTACCCACTGGGGTGGAAGAGGAACCAGGTTTCTGTTTCTAACCGAGACACAGAGAGGGAGAAAGTAAGAAAACAACACGGAGGTGACTGGGAGGATGGACGTCAGCCCTGGATGGACAGTTAGTTGTAGGGAAGGGCCAAAAAGACACAGGAAAGACCGAAAATAAAGATTAGATCGAAACATGAAAGCGTGAATAAAACGGCAGCATCAACCTGGCAATTAGGAGAAGAGTGGGAAGGAAGGTTGGAAATGACAGTCTGAGATCCATAAGAAACACCAGTGGCCATAGATGGAGGGAGAGGAGCTGGTGGGTGTCGGGGTTTAAGGTTTGGAAACTGTAGAGCTGAGGAAGTGAAGGAGGGTGGGGAAAGCTAGTGCGACGCAACACACAGCATAGATAATGTTGTGAAGACAAATGCTAGAAAGGATATACAATCGCATTGCTTCAAGGCGAGCATGGCCTGTTGGAACTTATAATGCATGCGTGTGCAAGAGAAGGCAGGGTGGGCAGTTGATGCAGCGAGCTTGGGAAGAAGAGCAAACAGTATGAGAATGTCTAGAGTTACCACACAAGCAGCAAAGAGAGAACTCGCTACTGCAGCTTGATGAACCATCACCAGATTTCCAACACCTACAGCAGAGGTGTGGAGAGGGGACGTACTCCTGAATGGAGCATCTGGCACCGGCAAAAATCATGGAACGCGGAAGAGTTCTACCATTAAAAGTGATCTTAATACGAAGGGAGGTTGACGACCACAAGAGGAACGAGTGAAAGGGTCAATCTGAAGAAAAGTAAAGCCCTGGACCTCGTGGAATATTTAATATCATGAAAATCTTTGAAGTCTATCTCCAGTTGCAACATGGTGAAGGAGAATGACTGCGCCAATATTACCATTCAACTGGATATTTTGGGGACCCCCGAACCAAAAATTAAGGTAGAGCTTTAGCTCATGAGCCCTCTTACATTTTATCCGTCGTTGAGTGATTGAGTCCCGCTATGACTGTAATGTTTACCCCTAACATTGTATCGAGTCTGTCAGCTCGTCTAAATGTTCCTGCAGCCTCTTGCTTCTATGTTATCTGAATCTACTCTCATTGTTTAGTGCGTGTGCAAGAGAGAAGAGAGACAGAGATATTACCTATCTATTAGTCCAGTGACTGGGAACATTGGAGATCACAAATACAATCAGAGAGAGAGGTGTGTGCCGAGCAAATGCCTGCAGACTTTCGTCATGCTTGGGACTCCTGTCATCAGACTATGAGTATCTCTCTTGAAGGAAAAATAATTCAAGACCATCCCATCTATGCACTATTGCACAGATGAGATTTTAAGAGGCTGTCCTGGTCCACCTGGTCATTTCCCTTCAGTATCTTGTATACTGTGATCATATTCCCTCTATTTCTTCTCTTCCAAGATTGTGGGGTCCAGTTCCTTTAACCTATCCTAATAGTGTAACCCTCTTGGCTCTGACTAGGTACTTTTTTCAATTTTGATTTTATGCTTCACAAAGGTGCAGATTCCAGGCCGGTTCTGCATATTCTAGTATTGGTCTAACAAAGGCTGTGTAGACAACACAAAGCAAACCGGGGTTCAAGGCAGCACGGCGTTACTGTTCAAGCGAAAAGATTTGAGTAATATTGACGCCCCGTCAGGCAAAGCCACCTAAACTAATAACGCTAACTTTTCACAGCTAAAAAGTTCCACTGGCGTAGTGGGGAAGCTTGTGTTAATAGTGGTACGTTCACAGCCAAAAAAAATCCTCTCTTTTCGCTCCACTCTTCAGAAACATTAAGCTAAGGAGAGATACACACAAGTCTGTTGGCCAATTTAACTGTATTTAGACGTAAGATGGAAAAAAATAAGAGTTCTTCAAGGACCAAAAAAATTAAGTTAATGCAGAGAGTTCTATTACTGCCTCTACATGACTTGACAGGGAGTGTTGACCGACGCCAGTAGCCTTATTTACGAGTTCTTACAACCTGGTGTAATTTGCATATTTAAAAGCCGAATTTTAAGGCCAGACAACTTCCGTCTGCAGGAGACTAGCGTGGGGAAAGCGGTCTGGTCGACAGAGACAAAGAACTCGTACTCCTCTTTCAACTCTTGCTAAGTTAGCTGAAGAAAAATCACATACAGGCCAAAGTTTTGTTCTATAATAATTCACTTGAACTCTGAGCCTTTCCTGATATGCTTTTTTAGAGGCTAGAAAAGTCCCAGTCCATAAAAGTGGTGATGTAACCAAGCAGCCTCACCGTGATGTAACCAAGGTTGGCTCAGGATCATATGAGCATCTAGGCGTCAAGTGCCGCTGGCGCCAAAGGGCGTGGCGACGGGCGCCAGCAGGAGTTGGTGCCGAGGTGAACCCGACAGGTAAAAGTGTTGCCGAGCACGCGCGCACACACGCACGCGCACGCAAACACAAACACACACAAACACACTCGCACACACTTGCTCTTTATTGATCCGTACAGCAGCAGTGCTCATCTCCTCCTCCCCCCCTGCTACCGAACTACGCCAGTTTTCGGAGGGGTATCCGGCTGTCCGCCGGGCTATCCGGCCGACTTTCCCCTTCTCCCGGCCTTGTGTTGTGCTCGGAACAGCTGGTCTGGGTTTTGTTTACAACAGAAATCCCACAACGAAAGTCATTTCGGGGGGAAATAATGAGGACGGAAGCGTGTGATTGGCCATGAATCACGTGACGTCACGGTAGGCGGGACCAATCACGGCGGCGTGAGCAATGGGATTGAGCAGTAACAGAGTTGCCTTCGTGGGAGAAGGTCGAACTCCTTTTGGTCTCGCGGTGGCGCGCTCTCTCTCTCTCTGGAGGGGAGTCATATGTACAACATCTGACTGTTGTAGTAAAAGTGCTCACACGGGAGCCGCCAGTCACTCCAGGTGTGTCCATGAGAGTCACCTGTGTCACCTGTGTGTGTACAAGTGTCAAAAGTTGTGCTTGTCTCTCTGTTCCTGATTAGGCATTCCTAATTGAAAATAAATAAACAGCCTAGTGAATCAGATATTCCTACAGGTTGGAAAAATATATAGAATATATATCTATATATAAAACAGTGTTGAATACCTGCGCGGTGATTGGCGTTCTGGTGCTATGTCGCGGGCCAGGAGTCGAACCCGGGCCATGAAACTGAGTATGTGCTCTCTCCTGTGGTGAGTTGTACTCGAGGTCTTCCTTAGCTTCGTGAAGCACTTCTTCCACTGAAGCACCTCCTCCAGGAGCAGCAGCCTGCCCGACCTGTGAAGCACGCACATAGTGGGACTTAGCACATATATATATACATATATGTATGTATAGTATATATAGAAGGGACTATCCGGCTTTTCCTGGGTAAAAAACTAAATATATGTACGTTTGGCTGTGGTTTAGTATCTTGTCTCTTGATGTTTATGGTGTTTGGTTGTGTGGGTTGGGGAGGGGTGGTGGTGGGTGCGGCGGTAGTGTTGGTGGTGGTAGTGTTGGTGGTGGTGGTGTGGTGGTGGTAGTGGTGGTGGTGGTGGTGGGTGTGGCGGTAGTGTTGGTGGTGGTAGTGGTGGTGGTGGTAGTGGTGGTGGTGGTGGTGGGTGTGGCGGTAGTGTTGGTGGTGGTAGTGGTGGTGGTGGTGTGGGTACTGGTGGTACCGGTTGTGGTGGTGGTATTGGTGGTAGGGTGGTGGTGGTACCGGTTGTGGTGGTGGTACCGGTTGTGGTGGTGGTATTGGTGGTAGGGTGGTGGTGGTATTGGTGGTAGGGTGGTGGTGGTATTGGTGGTGGGGTGGTGGTGGTATTGGTGGTGGTACTGGTGGTGGTGGTACCGGTTGTGGTGGTGGTGGTAGTTGTGGTACTAACGTACCGTATTAGCTACGTCTTCCCCTTCTCTCAAGATGGTCTTTCCACACCCCCTCTCCCCCCCCCCCACTAACCTCCCTCCACACCCCTCCCTCTCTCCCCCCCACTAACCAGCCTCCACACCCCTCCCTCCCCACTAACCAGCCTCCACACCCCCACCACACCAGAGCACGGCCACGCATGGCAGCGTTATATGGGGTGCAACATTCTCTAGAGAGGTGGGCGGCATTGCGACCCAGTTGGCAAGTGTTGAAAGGTGAGCTGAATAATTGCAGGAGCTGCACCCCCGTACACACTCCCCCGGGGGTGCCCAACCACCTCCGTCCTCTCTGGCTGTTTACCTCGAGGGGGGGGGGGGAGGGAGAGGCACCCGATGGGGTTAGTCTCTCTCCCTCCATCCTCTCTTACCCCTCCCTTTCTCCCCCACCCCTTTTTTCCTCTCCTTTCTTCTATCTTTCCCTTTCTTCCTCTCTCTTTCTCTCTCTCTCTTTGGGTGTACATTTCATAATGGTTCAATTTATTTTTGTATCATTATTTTGTCATAGGTTTTCATGTTAGGAACCGAGTACAACGAGGCTACCTTACCTTGAGATGATTTCGGGGCTTAGCGACCCCGCGGCCCGGTCGTCGACTAGGCCTCCTTGTTGCTAGATTGATCAACCAGACTGTTGGACGCGGCTGCTCGCAGCCTGACGTCAAGGACAGGGGGATATGGCTGGCACAGAGAGAGAGAGAGAGAGAGAGAAACAGAATGGCTGCAGTTTTGTCCCTCCGACAAAACATCTGAAACGCAAAGTCATAATAACCTGACCTCGAGAGGGTTCCGGGAATCAATGTCCCCGGGGCCCGGTCGCTGACCAAAAGCCTCCTGGGTGATGTGGTCGACCAGGCTGTAGGAGGAGTTGCCGTCTGAGTGATCAGGCAGCCGACCGGAGGTGTTTTTACCGTGTTGCTTCTTGCTTGAGGGAGCAGGCAGGCAGGCAGGCCTGAGTCTCATCCTATGGGCAGGAGTGTGAGGTTCGAACCGCTGCTTATTTCTGCTTCACGGGACGTTATAACCTTTGTACACAAAAACAAAACAAAAAAAACTCATACAAACACACACACACCCCCCCCCCCCTCCTCCCGCCCCATCGCAAATACTCATCATGATTCATTGATGACGATTAAGCCACCCAAGAGGTGGCACGGGCATGAATAACCCTTTAAGTAATAGATTTTTTTTGTTACCAGTTAATTGACAGTTGAGAGGCAGGACCAAAGAGCCAAAGTTTCCCCCCCCCCCTCCCGCAAGCACAACTAGGTGAGTACAGGTAGTTAACTACACACACACACTAAGGTTCGCGACATACCAACACTTCTCACCAGATTGGTCCGGCGCTGAAGGACTTGAATTATGCGGAAACATCAGAGGCGCTGAATCGTTGAAGGAGGTTATACTCAGGAATGTTAAGAGGGCTGACAAGACGTTTCCTCCCCTCGCCCACGCCCTCCATTTTCTTCTCCCCATCTCCCTTCTCCAATCCTCCAAGTCCCCCCCCCCAAAAGGTCTTCCCCTCTTTCCCCCCCCCCCTCTTCACCCCCATCTTCCCCCTTAACCCTCTCGATCGTCCCTCCCCCCCTTTCAGGAAATGTATTGCTAAGAAGCACTGAAAGAACTGTATTGATCTGTCAGATTATATTGTATTTCGATCGCTAAAAACTCCACGGGAATCACACCATATATTTCATACTTGACTGAAAACCGCCTTTTTATAATTGCTAATATTTCTTAAAGCATTTAACTTAAGCCTACCCCGACCAGCCTATGTCCGTCCTGTACCCAAGACCAGTCCCACTGCAAATATTGGTGAGGCTAGCCCCAAGCATCTGGTCGCCAACTTTGGACAAACAAGCACAGGCATTCTTATATGGTAGAGATTATATATATATTATATATATATAATTCAGACATTCTTATATGGTAGAGGTATATATATATAATTCAGACATTCTTATATGGTAGAGGTATATATATATATATATATATATATATATATATATATATATATATATATATATATATATATATATATATATATATATATATATATATATATATGTCGTACCTAGTAGCCAGAACTCACTTCTCAGCCTACTATTCAAGGCCCGATTTGCCTAATAAGCCAAGTTTTCCTGAATTAATATATTTACTATAATTTTTTTCTTATGAAATGATAAAGCAACCCTTTTCTCTATGTATGAGGTCAATTTTTTTTATTGGAGTTAAAATTAACGTAGATATATGACCGAACCTAACCAACCCTACCTAACCTAACCTAACCTAACCTATATTTATAGGTAAGGTTAGGTTAGGTAGCCAAAAAAAGCTAGGTTAGGTTAGGTTAGGTAGGTTAGGTAGACGAAAAAACATTAATTCATGAAAACTTGGCTTATTAGGCAAATCGGGCCTTGAATAGTAGGCTGAGAAGTGCGTTCTGGCTATTAGGTACGACATATATATATATATATATATATATATACCTGGCGTCCTATACGACCGAAAATGTTGCCCAATAGATTAAAGTGTACATAACAGCACATTCTTGAACATGCCGTTCAAGGCCGCCCACACTTGACGCGGCCGCCCACACTTGACGCGGCCGGACGCGCCACACACGCGGCCGCCCACACTTGACGCGGCCGCCCACACTTGACGCATCATGACCGCTGTTGAGCTCCGAGGCAGAGCTCTCCTCCACCACCCTGCCGCCCGCCCTCGCCTCTACTACGTCTCATTTTGGACGTTCGGGTCACCAACGACAAACGGTACCGCGAAACGTATCACAAATATCCTCGTTTTCTGTGTACCGGTATAGGTGAAGTTAGGGGGGATGGAGGCGGCTTGGGGTTCGAACCCTTCTGGTTTTAGGTTAGTATTTTGTATTTCGCGCGTTGAGGCAGATGAAGAGAACGGTTGTATCCCATCTCCATCGTCTTCTTTCAGAGCATTCCACTTGTATACACACTGGGGGCATAATGTCACCGAAGCGACCATACGAGTCATAATCCCATGCAAACACACAACGTAATGGTCACTACCGTCGCCTCGTTACAACTTGTTATAAAGTGGTTAACGTTTTGTTATAAAGTTTGTATGACTTGGTAGAAAGTTGTTACATCTTGTTCGGTAATTGTTACAACTAGTTAGGTGGTGGTAGAACTTATTGGAACCTTCTAGCAACGCAGCAGTTTCCCTAGTGTGTGTGGCGGGGAAAATGTCGTAGTTTCCCCTAGTGTGTGTGGCGGGGAAAATGTCGTAATTCCCCCAGTGTATTTGGCGGGAAGTCACTCGTACCCCGCCCAAGACAGAAACGAGTAACCAGCCAGAGGCTTAAAGCCAACCGCGGGAATATCCCTGAAATAAAAAATATATGTATATAATACAAAGGATCATTCAGGGCCTTACACTCTGAACCTCACGTAATACTCAATGAAGCTTCCTGACAGCAGCTGTAACAGACTATTGCTTGCTTGCTTAGTTCTTGTAGCGTATTGGTCTACGTCTTTTTTTGCCACAATCGAAAGACCTCGAGTTCGATTCCCTGATAGGAGGAAAATGGTCGAATATAATTTTCTTTCACCTGATACCTCGAGTCATGATATAAGGCATATTTATTCGATTTTACCCGAGGGGGACCACCATGTATTTAGTGGCTACGATGGAGACAGGAAGCCAGGGGCTTGTCAACAGTCCCCCACCTTCCTTTCCTCTCCCACACGACACCCAGCGAGGCTCGCCCATCAGGACTATGTAAGCAGGTCGGGCGAGATCAGAGAGAACAATTTACGAGATCATTATAGCCCGTGCTACATGGATATGTTGTTCAGAGAAGCTGAAGCTAAAACAATAACACGAGAGACAACAGTGGACTGGTTCCGCAATGATTGACTCGTCACACTCTTCCTACTCTCTCTCACACTCTCTCACTCACACACACTCTCACTCACACACTCTCTCACTCACACACTCACTCTCTCTCTCTCTTTACACTGTCCCTTGCTTTATTCCCCTCCCACAATGTCCAAGACAACCGGCCAGTCGGCCAGCTAGACAGCGAGACCACCGGCCAGTCGGCCAGCTAGACAGCGAGACCACCGGCCAATCGGCCAGCTAGACAGCGAGACCTCCGGCCAGTCGGCCAGCTAGACAGCGAGACCACCGGCCAGTCGGCCAGCTAGACAGCGAGACCACCGGCCAGTCGGCCAGCTAGACAGCGAGACCTCCGGCCAGTCGGCCAGCTAGACAGCGAGACCACCGGCCAGTCGGCCAGCTAGACAGCGAGACCTCCGGCCAGCCAGACCACACAGACAATAACCAAGGCAGTAAGGGAGGCAGATGGTGGCACTAACCCCAGGCGAGGGTAACCAAGAGGGTGGAGGCCCCCATACCCTCCCCAACACGCCCCACAGCTCCTCACAAGGACGCAAAATATCCAAGAGCTCCGTCTATAGCGGAAGCTTAAGTATATACCTAAACACAAACAATAAAATAAAAAGTTTCAGAAATGTTTTTCCCTCTCCGTGTGTTTTTGGTTCTCATTAAAGGCGAAGTTCTGTACCAAGAGTTTGTCAATTACGTCTTAAAGGGGCTTGAGGACTACTTCGGGTGAATATAACGCTATAACCTGACTGTTCTTATTATGATCACCCGTATATTGCGGTCTGTGGCTCTGGGGGGGGGGGAGGCTGTTGTGGCCCTTGTGTGTCTACGTTTTCCAACGTAAACGTCTACACATTCCAACGTTTGTAGACGTAATGTTGGGCGTTTTCGTTCCTCTGTCGATATTCTTTTTTGAGGTAGGGACGAGGGCCGAGACTTCCCTCAGGAGGCTGACAGCTGAGGGAAGGATGGGAGGGCTCTGTTTACCAAATGGAAATGAACTTAAGCTTGGCTCTATCCCTGCCGAGGATGGCCCTTCCTAGCCCTCAAACACCCATCTACCCCCACTACAGCAACCACGTGCATCCATCACCACCTGCACCCACCTATTCCACAGAAGTGCGTTTCAGGGTTATATGTCTAGTTACAGTCGCTCACGTTAAGGGAAATAAAGTCAAGTGGAACGCTGCCACGAGAGAGAGTAAGGGCTAAAGGGCTGGGGAGAGGGGGAGAGTAAAGGCTAAAGGGCTGGGGAGAGAGGGCAGAGTAAGGCTAAAGGGCTGGGGAGAGAGTAAGGGTTACAGAAGCTAGAGAGAGAGTGAGGAAATAAATCACCACTTCAAGACCCCGAGCCAACGCAGAGACAGGATCCAATGACCCTGCCTTAGGAACATAAGCTGCCCACACTGATGCATTTAATACCCAATACCCCCTTGTGTTATGACATTCACCCACTTGTTCCGAGGTCCATGACCTCGGTGGGGGTCATGAGCCGCACAAGCATCCACAACCTGACCCGGAATTATACAAGGTCATAATGCCGTCTCGCCTTGTCCCTTCCTACAATGTATAAAACGTTATTTTATGTCTTATTTGGGTTGGGATACAAGACGACGTGTTGGGGTTACTTCGAGAGCAGCCATGACGTATTGTGAAAAGTTCCTCTAAGGTGCTTTTAAGAAAAAAATTGATATCCTGCAATATTTCACAAGGCCTGGACACCCCTCCGTGAAGCAGCTATCTCTTCACACTCCTCTATGGAGTGCTCTATGACCATAGAGCACGGCTTAGCTGACAATAGAGCACGGCTTAGCTGACAATAGAGCACGGCTTAGCTGACAATAATACTGTTATAGATAATATACCTAAAATAGATCATTATTTAGATAACTTACAACGACACACCTTGAAGGGGTCTATCACAGTCGTCCCGAGACTGGGGTTGGCGAGGGAGCGAGGGTCTGCGAGCGGGTCTACTACGACGCGTGTTGAAACAAGGAAATGTGCTTCCCTTGGGACCGCTTGTGTGTGATGTGGGGAAGGGGGAGTGTGCGTGCGCGTGCTCTTGCGTGCATACAAGAGTGAGAGGGGGGGGGGTGATGGGTTGAAGGGGTTCAGGAGCCACTAGCTACGTCCGTATTCTTCTGACTGATGATACGCTGGAATGCGCACGCAAGTCCCACACACGCACTTTCTCTCTCGCGTGTTTTTCCCATCACCTCGATGTAAACGAACCGGGGTAAGTGATGACTCCTGCTCTCTCTCGCCACCTCAACAAAATCCACCACGGAGCACCAGTCTCCGTGGTAAGACACTCGCCTGGCGTTCCGCGAGCGCTTTGGGTCATGGGTTCGTATCCTGGCCGGGGAGGATTACTGGGTGCAAATCCTTAACTGTAGCCTCTGTTTAACTCAACAGTAAAATGTGTACTTGGTTGTAACAACGATTCTTCGCGGCGGGGATTGTATTCCAGGGACCTGCCCGAAACGCTACGCGTACTAGTGGCTGTACAAGAATGTAACAACTCTTGTATATATCTCAAAAAAAAAAAAAAAAAGTAGAGAGGGTTCAATAGAGCTTTTGTTGTCTGTAAGCGTGTGTGTGTCCTCGACCCAGTCAGTCAGTTCCCGTGGCGTAGCGGTAACATACTCACCCGGCGATTCGCGAGCGCTTTGTCCTGGGTTCGTATCCTGGCCGGGGGGGAAGGATTTACTGGGCGTCAATCCGTAAATGTAGCCTCTGTTTAACTCAACAGTTAAAATGGTTGTTAAACGATTTGGTGGGGGTCTTATTTCCGGGGTAAACTCTTTTAAGACTCTAGAAAGAGCTTTTGCAGTAGCACAGTGGTCTACGCCTCGCCTCACAACAGTGAGACCTGGGTCGGGGGTCTACGTTTCCTTTCACCTCATGCACCTCTTCACCGGGCGGTAAAATATGTAGCCGGGAGTGTGTGAACTATTGTGGGGCTGCAATCCTGGGTCGTTAGTGGGCTTTAAGTACAGGCTTCAGTCTCCCGAACAAGCGGAATTAACACCACATTCCTAGATCCTTGTATCCTAGTGATCAACCCATCTATTGTGGCAATGGAAGATTGGTAATGAAGGTCGCGGGTAGCATAGGTGACTCTTCTTGGGCTGGACGGTAGAGCGACGGTCTCGCTTCATGCAGGTCGGCGTTCAATCCCCGACCGTCCAAGTGGTTGGGCACCATTCCTTCCCCCCGTCCTATCCCAAAGCCTTATCCTGATCCTTTCCCAGTGCTATATAGTCGTAATGGCTTGGCGCTTTCCACCTGATAGTTCAGTTCCCTTCCCTTCCCTCCCCCCCCCCCCCGACAGGTGCCTCAGTCAGACCGTTGTAGGCAGTTAGAGTGTGTTAACAACCTGTGTTTGAGGATCTAAGCATCATTACTCCAGTGAAGGCTGTGACGTCACGCCGCATAGGAGAGAGAGCTATGACGTCATACGCCTCACATTGAAAACTATGACGTCATACGCCATTGAAAATACACACACACACACACACACACACACACACACACACACACACACACACACACACACACACACGCAGTGGAAACTATGAAGTTATTAAGGCAGTTATATTAGTTGCCAATCTTGCTGCTGATGTTCGGTTTGCAACCCGACACGAGGGCAACACTGCACCGTTCGAACACTGCAGATTTCGAACACAAAGATGCAGCCAGCAATTCTAAACACGCTGTTCATTTAAAATTATATTTTTCTCAAATATATCTGATTACTAGATATTAACATAGTGTGCATATTTAAAATACGCGTTAGATAGGTTAAGTGTGTTTAGGTTCTGTTGGCGATTATTAGTGTGTGTGAAGTACGTGGGTGAAGCATTGGTCCGAGCCGAGGTCGTCAATGAAGCATTTGTTTGAGAAATGTTCGAACGTCATCAGTTGCGAGTCGCGTGTAAACCGTTTTTTATTTGCACAGAGGGGGGGGGGGTTTGCCGGCTGCATGGAATGCACATTTGGCCTTTGTTGATGAGGTTCAGCTCGTCCTCATCAATAAAGGCCATAAGTGATTCCATGCAGCCGCCAAACCCCCTGTTCATAAATGAAAAACTGTTTACACACGACTCGCAACTGATTTCATCCGAACACTTCCGGAACAAGTGCTTCACTGACGGCTTTTGTTCGAACCACAACGCTGTAAATGCTTCACCCACGTACTACAAATACAAATAATCGCCAACAGAACCTAAACACCTAACCTAACAAATGCCTAAATATGCACACTATGCTAATATATAACAATATTAAATTTAGATTTGAGAAAATTCCTATTTTGAATCAACAGCATATAAATAAAATTTATGATCGTGTATGAACTTATGGGGTCGGTCGCTGGATGGAATGAACATAGACTGAGGACGGGATGGATGGTCGGTCGTTTGATAAATGTGGCTTTTGGAGAGCGAGCCAGCCAGCGAGCCTCATGCATAATTAAGCGTGTCCCAACATATCCACTTAACACTATACCCGTTACCGACCATTAATCTTGAGGGCACTTTACCGCTGTTAATACTACGCGTTTATGTGGCTCACATCATCCTGGGGCCAGATACACGAAGCAGTTACGCAAGCACTTACGAACGTGTACATCTTTCCTCAATCTTTGATGGCTTTGGTTACATTTATTAAACAGCTTACATGCATTAAAACTTGCCAATCAACTATTGCTATAAACAGCCTCCTGGTGCTTCGGAGCTCATTAACTGTTTAATAATTGTAAACAAAGCCGCCAAAGATTGTGAAAAGATGTTTAGGTTCATAATTGTTTGCGTAACTTTTTCGTGAATTCAGCCCCTGGGAACCTTACCCAAGGTTCCCACACTCCCGGGAACCTTACCCAAGGTACCCACACTCCCGGGAACCTTACCCAAGGTACCCACACTCCCGGGAACCTTACCCAAGGTACCCACACTCCCGGGAACCTTACCCAAGGTACCCACACTCCCGGGAACCTTACCCAAGGTACCCACACTCCCGGGAACCTTACCCAAGGTACCCACACTCCTGGGAACCTTACCCAAGGTACCCACACTCCCGGGAACCTTACCCAAGGTACCCACACTCCTGGGAACCTTACCCAAGGTACCCACACTCCCGGGAACCTTACCCAAGGTACCCACACTCCTGGGAACCTTACCCAAGGTACCCACACTCCCGGGAACCTTACCCAAGGTTCCCACACTCCTGGGAACCTTACCCAAGGTTCCCACACTCCCGGGAACCTTACCCAAGGTTCCCACACTCCCGGGAACCTTACCCAAGGTTCCCACACTCCTGAGAACCTTACCCAAGGTACCCACACTCCCGGGAACCTTACCCAAGGTTCCCACACTCCTGGGAACCTTACCCAAGGTTCCCACACTCCCGGGAACCTTACCCAAGGTTCCCACACTCCCGGGAACCTTACCCAAGGTTCCCACACTCCCGGGAACCTTACCCAAGGTTCCCACACTCCTGGGAACCTTACCCAAGGTACCCACACTCCCGGGAACCTTACCCAAGGTTCCCACACTCCCGGGAACCTTACCCAAGGTTCCCACACTCCTGGGAACCTTACCCAAGGTTCCCACACTCCCGGGAACCTTACCCAAGGTTCCCACACTCCCGGGAACCTTACCCAAGGTTCCCACACTCCCGGGAACCTTACCCAAGGTTCCCACACTCCCGGGAACCTTACCCAAGGTTCCCACACTCCCGGGAACCTTACCCAAGGTTCCCACACTCCCGGGAACCTTACCCAAGGTTCCCACACTCCTGGGAACCTTACCCAAGGTACCCACACTCCTGGGAACCTTACCCAAGGTTCCCACACTCCCGGGAACCTTACCCAAGGTTCCCACACTCCCGGGAACCTTACCCAAGGTTCCCACACTCCTGGGAACCTTACCCAAGGTTCCCACACTCCCGGGAACCTTACCCAAGGTTCCCACACTCCCGGGAACCTTACCCAAGGTTCCCACACTCCCGGGAACCTTACCCAAGGTTCCCACACTCCCGGGAACCTTACCCAAGGTACCCACACTCCCGGGAACCTTACCCAAGGTTCCCACACTCCCGGGAACCTTACCCAAGGTTCCCACACTCCCGGGAACCTTACCCAAGGTACCCACACTCCCGGGAACCTTACCCAAGGTACCCACACTCCCGGGAACCTTACCCAAGGTACCCACACTCCCGGGAACCTTACCCAAGGTACCCACACTCCCGGGAACCTTACCCAAGGTACCCACACTCCCGGGAACCTTACCCAAGGTTCCCACACTCCCGGGAACCTTACCCAAGGTTCCCACACTCCCGGGAACCTTACCCAAGGTTCCCACACTCCCGGGAACCTTACCCAAGGTACCCACACTCCTGGGAACCTTACCCAAGGTTCCCACACTCCCGGGAACCTTACCCAAGGTTCCCACACTCCCGGGAACCTTACCCAAGGTACCCACACTCCCGGGAACCTTACCCAAGGTACCCACACTCCCGGGAACCTTACCCAAGGTTCCCACACTCCCGGGAACCTTACCCAAGGTTCCCACACTCCCGGGAACCTTACCCAAGGTACCCACACTCCCGGGAACCTTACCCAAGGTTCCCACACTCCCGGGAACCTTACCCAAGGTACCCACACTCCCGGGAACCTTACCCAAGGTTCCCACACTCCCGGGAACCTTACCCAAGGTTCCCACACTCCCGGGAACCTTACCCAAGGTTCCCACACTCCCGGGAACCTTACCCAAGGTTCCCACACTCCCGGGAACCTTACCCAAGGTTCCCACACTCCCGGGAACCTTACCCAAGGTTCCCACACTCCCGGGAACCTTACCCAAGGTTCCCACACTCCCGTGCTCCTCTACATGTAAACAAACACGACTTTTATATATATAAATTTAGCCCAAGTGTTTGGAGTGTATTTCCTAGATTTATTGTATAGTAATATTTCTGGCGAGATGTTTTTTTTATTTATACGTACTAGTTGGGGTTCCCAGGTGTGTGTCTGAGCCTCTCTCTCTCCTCAGCTTCCCTCCCCTTCTCCTACTTCTTCCCCTCACAACTTACCCCCCCCCTCTTCCTCATCCCCACAACATCCCCCCCCCCTCTCAAACCTGGGTAAATGTCGAGTGTACTAAGCGTCAAAATTACGGTTTTCGCAACCCATAACTTATATTTCAGACAATGAAAATCGCAAGAGGGGCCACTTAACGTGCCGATATTTCTTAAAGCATGACATTTGGAGCGACCCCGGCTGGCCTTTTGACCCTCATAACTGCAGCCTAAAAATATATTTTATATGTGAAACTTGGGCAAGACTTAACACTGTTCACCACTGAGACGTTGGGTTGTTGGTGTTGATTTAGGGGGCAACGATGATCCTGGGATCGGATGCGACCCGACGTACCCGTGAAGGACTAATCGCGAAGCCTAATGGTGAAATGAATGTCGCATATCAGCGGAAACTGTAATGTGTTTAGCGGCACATAAACACAGACGGGCAGGTGATTGCGGAGTCCCCTCAGGGTGACAAGCACCAGCCCCGCCCTCCCCACAGAGAACACTGGGTAGCAAAACCAAAAACTCGGCCCCCAACTAAAAAGTCATCCAATGGCCTCCGGCAGAGCAGAAGCCGGCCGCCCACCACGGCTGAGGGCACACCAGGAGCCCGCTAAGACCCACCAACTCCCGGCAACCATCACCCCGCCCGAAGAACCAGCCAGAAAACGTTCAAAATCTATAAACTTTCCTGTGACCCAAGGCGAAATGTGCTCCAGGCGTCGTAACAATCCGGACCGTTGAAGAGGAAGTTCAAACGCCGGTAGCAGACAGGAATGTAGATGGGGTGGTGGCGACTACTGACGTGTGGCGCGCTCTTGTTGACAAACAGGGTTCGCAGTCTTCCACTACGAACGGTTCCTCGGACCCTGTGAACCCCTAGGAGCCGGATTCATTAAGCAGTTACGCAAATACTTAAGAACGTGTACAACTTTTATCAAACTTTGGCGGCTTTGTTTATAATTATTAAACTGTTTATAAGCTCCGAACACCAGAAGGCTGTTTATAACAACAACAACATTTGTCTGGGAAGTTTCGATACTCGTAAACTCTTTATTAATAAATGTAAACAAAGCCGCCAAAGATTGACAAAAGATGCACGGGTTCGTAAGTAGACGAGTAAATGCGTCTTAAATCCTGACCCTGGATTTAGCAGAAACATTCTTCTGGCAACTGACACACAATTTCCACAGCCCGTCCTCGTAAACAGTGGCCAAATGCCCGTTAATGCGGCATCTAGACTTCCTTTTTTATGGATGAAAACCGCTTTATAAACGACTCAATTGTTTACATTCGAACTTTTCTGAACAAAAATATTTATTTTCCTAAAAGTGCTTCACCCACGTACCGCAAACACCAATAATGTCCAACACAAAACACCAAGCCTAACTTAGGCCAAACTATACGCAAAATTATATATACCCATTAATTAATAATTTATATTGTAGAAAATACAGTTCTTCGTTACATTATTGCGGAACACCATGATGTGCCTGGGGTCGCAACGTATAAGTCACATACTGACATTATAGTCCAAATAAGTCAGTATGTGACTTTTATGACCCACTTAACCATGTTTGAGAATCATGACTCGCAAGGTTCGTCATTCACTTCCAGAGCCTGTAAACTCTCCCTCAATCACCGTAACCAGAGCCACTTGACCTAAAACCTTTCAGGTCAGTGTTCAATCCCCGATAATCCAAAGCGGTTGGGGCACCATTTCTTCCCTCCACCGGACCACTGTATAGCTTGGTTACCCAACATGGCTGCCAGGTTACCCAACATGGCCGCCGGCGTCACTGACTGTGTTTTCCGACTCTCGTCCAGTTTCCTATTTCCCTTAATTCTTGCTTCTCATTCCCTGGTTCATTCCCCCTCCTCCTCCTCTCCCCACTCCCCTCCTCTCCCCTCTCCTCCTCCTCCTCCTCTCCCCCACCCCCTCTCCGATCACCTTCTCCCCCCTCTCCCCTTCTCTTCCCCACCACCAATTTAAATCTTCAGAAATATACTTTAGAATTAACCTGACGTTTATGTGGCAGGTATACAAGTCAGGTTTAGGAGTCATGTGTAAGTAAATCAGGCTTATGAGCGTTCGTGGGGGAGTTTGTGTCGGAGCGGGAGTGTAGGTGTGTATGGGTGTTTATACACAAGTGTATGTGTATATATACACAAGTGTCAGTGTGTATATCTACGTCAGGCCGCTGCTCGCAGCCACACGCATGATCCACAGCCCAGTTGATCAGGTCTACCTCGGGAAAGTTCATAGAATTCATCTTTGAACACCGCGAGAAGCCGGCCAGTTATGCCCCTTGTGTGTGTGTAGAGGGAAAGTGTCGAAACGTTTTGGTCCCAAGTTCTCTCTTATCGTCCCAAGTTCTCTCTCATCGTACCAAGTTCTCTCTCATCGTACCAAGTTCTCTCTCATCGTACCAAGTTCTCTCTCATCGTACCAAGTTCTCTCTCATCGTACCAAGTTCTCTCTCACCGTACCAAGTTCTCTCTCATTGTTCCAAGTTCTCTCTCATCGTACCAAGTTCTCTCTCATCGTGCCTATTGCACCTTTGCTGGCCAATGGGGCTATTTTGCACTTCCTGCCATGCCTCCTGGTCTCATGAAGAGAAAACTCGATGTGCCAATTTGTTGCCAATCCCTCTAATATTTTCCAAGTGTAAGTTATGCTGTATCTGTTTCTACTCCCCTCCAGATAATAGTCTTGAGATATTTCAAACGTTCTCTGTAAATAAGATATTCTATTAAGTGGATTCGGGCGGTGAATGCGAAGTGACATTCAAAACAACTTCTCCAGCTTTGAATGGGGCTGTTAGTGTGCAGCAATATTCCATGCCTGGAGTGTGCTAGTATCTGATAAAGTAACATTATTACGCAAGTGTGGTAGTGTATTGTTGTTAAATACGCAAGTGTGGTAGTGTATTGTTAAATACGCAAGTGTGGTTGTGTATTGTTGTTAAATACGCAAGTGTGGTAGTGTATTGTTGTTAAATACGCAAGTGTGGTAGTGTATTGCTGTTAAATACGCAAGTGTAGCAGTATAAGGCTGTTAAATATACAAGTGTAGTAGTGTTTAGCTGTTAAATACGCGTCTAGCAGTATAAGGCTGTTAAATATGAAAGTGCAGCAGTGAATGGTAGTTTTATGATCTACTGATGCCTTCACGCTGGATGAGATCTTGTACACAGGTTTAGAAATTCAATATTTATATAAAGCTCTATAACACCTCGGGGTAAAAACTTAGCCAACGAGAATATAAACTTACGTTACCAATGCCTGTATTCGTTACTAGCATCACTACTAACCTCCTGTATTTACCCATGTCAGTATTTCTCCCAACTAGGCACTGAATTTCAATGTTTTGCTGGAAAAGTTCTGGTCGTTAAGTGATGTAGTTGTGACAATTGGTCTTCTGTGTTCGTGAGAACACTGGACAAAGAACAAAGCCTGTACGACTATAGTGGTTATAAATAGGAGCTGCCTCGTATGGGCCAATAGGCCCTTCTACATTTACCTTTGTTCTTACGACTACATATTACCTGGAAGGAACAAGTGGGGGGGAGGGGGTAAGGTCGCGGGTAGTCGTATACAAGTCGTACAAGATTACTCCAAAAATGTTTTGTAATTTCTGCTCTTATATGAGTTATCTTCTGGACTGAATGAAGTTTAATTGTTTCCTTTAGTTTCCGTCTAGGGAAGGAGTAGAAATAGTATTCCTGTTCCCAGTGGCTGAGGGCTCGTTTATTATGAAAATGATTTTGATTTTTGGCTATTAAAGCCTTGTGTTCGAAATTATTGAGTTCGGTGTTGAGGTTCACTTTACTACGCTTTCCGGTAATGTTTTGTTTCTCGGAGAGTTGCTCATTTAGGTTCAGTTGTGTGTTTGTGAGGGGTAACTTTATGCTCCGTTCCAGGCTGTTATTTTTCACGAAAGATTTTGAGTTTTCCAGTTGGCTGGATTCTCCTCCATGGCATAGTTTAGCTCACATTAATCATAGTATGGAATGCTACCTTGCGCGTGGCTTCTCTGAACTACATCCCTGGAATGCTACCTTGCCCGCGGCTTCTCTGAACTACATCCCTGGAATGCTACCTTGCCCGCGGCTTCTCTGAACTACATCCCTGGAATGCTACCTTGCCCGCGGCTTCTCTGAACTACATCCCTGGAATGCTACCTTGCCCGCGGCTTCTCTGAACTACATCCCTGGAATGCTACCTTGCCCGCGGCTTCTCTGAACTACATCCCTGGAATGCTACCTTGCCCGCGGCTTCTCTGAACTACATCCCTGGAATGCTACCTTGCGCGTGGCTTCTCTGAACTACATCCCTGGAATGCTACCTTGCCCGCGGCTTCTCTGAACTACATCCCTGGAATGCTACCTTGCCCGCGGCTTCTCTGAACTACATCCCTGGAATTCAACTCCAACAGCGCGAACTCCGCACTCCGATTTTTTGAGCTGTAAATTTAATTCGCTGAGTGGGATGATGATTCAGCAAGCTTGTATAAGGCTTTCAAAACTATGCTCAACTTTCACTTGCTGTTCAGTAAAGTTGTTTTTACGCTGAGAGCAAAAGTCCATTATGGGGCTCACCATAGCCCGTGCTACTTGCAACTATTAGCTCCGTGTGGCTGAATCTGAAGCAACAACACGGTGAGAGCAAGTAACAAAAACGTGGCCGATATAAAATGACTCCACCAACATACATGACGTGAAACTGACGACCTTTCGGTCCATCGCGGACTGGATATCCGTACTTGATAAGGATCCAGGATGGCCCCGAAACGTGTAAAAGTCACCTACCT